AATGCAAAAGAATGGAAATCATAACAAACAAGTCTCTCAGACCACAGTGCAATCAAATTAGAACTCAGAATTCAGAAACTAACTCAGAACCTCACAACTTCATGGAAACTGAACAACTGGCTCTTGAATGCTGACTGGATAAACAATGAAATGAAGACAGAAATAAAGATATTCTTCGAAACCAACGAGAACGAAGACACAACATACCAGAATCTCTGGGACACATTTAAAGCTGTGTTGAGAGGAAAATTTATAGCAATAAATGCCCACATAAGAAGCAAGGAAAGATCTAAAATTGACACCCTATCGTCAAAATTAAAAGAGTTAGAGGAGCAAGATAAAAAACAAACAAAAAAACGGAAAAGCTAGCATAAGACAAGAAATAACTAAGATCAAAGCAGAACTTAAGGAGACAGAGACACAAAAACCCTTCAAAAAAGCAATAAATCCAGGAGCTGATTTTATGAAAAGATCAAAACAAAACAGACCACTAACCAGATTAATAAAAAAGAAAAGAGAGAATAATCAAATAGATGCAATAAAAAATGATAAAGAAGATATCACCACAGATTCCACAGAAATACAAACCACCATCAAAGACTACTACAAACAACTCTATGCAAATAAACCAGTAAGCGTGGAAGAAATGGATAAATTCCTGGACACTTGCATCCTCCCAAGCCTAAACCAGGAAGAAGTTGAAACCCTGAATACACCAATAACCAGGGCTGAAGTTGAGGCAGCAATTAATAGCCTACCAACCAAGAAAAGCCCAGGTTCAGATGGGTTCACAGCTGAATTCTACCAAACATGCAAAGAGGAGCTGGTGCCACTTCTTCTGAAACTATTCCAAACAATCCAAAAAGAGGGAATCCTTCCCAAATCATTTTATGAGACCAACATCATCCTGATGTGAAAACCTGACAGAGACTCAAAAAGAAAAGAAAACTTCAGGCCAATATCCATGATGAATATAGATGCAAAAATCTTTAATAAAATAATGGCAAACTGATTGCAACAGCACATCAAAAAGCTTATCCATCATGATCAGGTAGGCTACATCCCGGAGATGCAAGGCTGGTTCAACATACACAAGTCTATAAATGTAATTCACTACATAAACACAACCAAAGACAAAAATCACATGATTATCTCAATTGATGCAGAGAAGGCCTTTGACAAAATTCAACAGCGCTTTATGGTAAAAACTCTGAATAAACTAGATATCGATGGAACGTATCTGAAAATAATAAAAGCTATTTATGACAAACCTACAGCCAATATCATACTGAATGGGCAAAAACTGGAAGCATTCCCTTTGAAATATGGCATTAGACAAGGATGCCCTCTCTCACCACTCCTATTCAATATAGTATTGGAAGTTCTAGTCAAAGCAATCAGGCAAGTAAAAGAAATAAAGGGTACTCACTTAGGAAAGGAGGAAGTCAAATTGTCTCTATTTGCAGATGACATTATTGTACATTTAGAAAACCCCATTGTCTCAGCCCCAAATCTCCTGAAACTGATAAGCAACTTCAGCAGTCTCAGGATACAACATCAATGTGCAGAGATCACAAGCATTCCTATACACCAATAACAGACTTAAAGAGAGCCAAATCAAGAACGAACTGCCATTCACAATTGCTACAAAGAGAATAAAATACCTAGGAATACAACTAATAAAGGATGTAAAGGACCTCTTCAAGGAGAACTACAAACCACTGCTCAACAAAATAAGAGAAGACACAAACAGATGGAGAAACATTCTATGCTCATGGTTAGGAAGAATCAATATTGTGAAAATAGCCATACTGTCCAAAGTAATTTATAGATTCAATGCTATCCCCATCAGTCTACCAATGGCCTTCTTCACAGAACTGGAAAAAAAAACACCTTAAACTTCATATGGAACCAAAAGAGAGCCTGCACAGACAAGTCAATCCTAAGCAAAATGAACAAAGCTGGAGGGAGGCATCATGCTACCTGACCTCAAACTATACTACAAGGCTACAGTAATCAAAACAGCATGGTACTGATACCAAAACAGAGATATAGACCAATGGAACAGAACAGAGGCCTCAGAGGCAATGCCACACATCTACAACCATCTGATCTTTGACAAACCTGACGAAAACAGGCAATGGGGAAAGGATTCCCTGTTTAATAAATGGTGTTGGGAAAACTGGCTAGCCATGTGCAGAAAGCAGAAACTGGACCCCTTCCTGACACCTTACACTAAAATTAACTCCAGGTGGATTAAAGACTTAAACATAAAACCTAACACCATAAAAATCCTGGGCAAAATCATTCAGGACATAGGCATAGGCAAGGACTTTATGACTAAAACAACAAAAGCATTGGCAATAAAAGCCAAAATAGATAAATGGGATCTAATTAAACTCCAGAGTTTCTGCACAGCAAAAGAAACAATCATTAGAGTGAACCAGCAATGAACGATGGGAAAAATTTTGCAATCTACCCATCTGACAAAGGACTTATATCTAGAATGTACAAAGAACTAAAACAGATTTATAAGAAGCAAACAAACAAACCCATTCAAAAGGATGGCAAAGGATATGATCAGGCACTTTTCAAAAGAAGACATATATGAGGCCAACAAACATACGAAGAAATGCTCATCATCACTGGTCATTAGAGAATACAAATCAAAACCACATTGAGATACCATCTCACGCCAGTTAGAATGGCGATCATTAAAAAATCTGGAGACAACAGATGCTTGAGAGGATGTGGAGAAATCAGAACACTTTTACATTGTTGGTGGGAGTGTAAATTAGTTCAACCATTGTGGGAGACAGTGTGACGATTTCTCAAGGACCTAGAAACAGAAATTCCATTTGACCCAGCAATCCCATTACTGAGTATATATCCAAGGGATTATAAATCATTCTATTAAAAAGATATATGAACAGGTATGTTCGTTGCAGCACTATTTACAATAGCAAAGACTTGGAACCAACCCAAATGCCCATCAATGATAGACTGGACAGGGAAAATGTGGCACAAACACACAAGCCATAAAAAATGATGAGTTTGTGTCCTTTCTAGGGACATGGATGAACCTGGAAACCATCATTCTCAGCAAACTGACATGAGAACAGAAAACCAAACACCGCATGTTCTCACTCATAGGTGGGTGTTGAACCATGAGAACACATGGACACAGGGAGGGGAGCATCACACACTGAGGTCTGTTGCGGGGGACTAGGGGAGGAACAGTGGGGGGTAGGGAGTTCGGGAGGGACAACATGGGGAATAATGCCAGATACAGGTGATGGGGATGGAGGCAGCAAACCACATTGCCATGTATGTACCTATGCAACAATTCTGCATGTTCTTCACATGTACCCCAGAACCTAATGTGCAATAAAATAATATATATGAAAAGAAAAAGCAGGAGTACTTAACATGAGAATAGTTACCTGACACAAAGGAATAAATAGAAACAAAGTAGTCACAAGAGTGGACATCTTCTCCATCCACTCTACATGCTAGTGGGTGGACATCTGCCCCATCCGCTCCACATGCTACTGGGCGGACATCTGCCCCGTCCGCTCCACATGCTACTGGGCGGACATCTGCCCCGTCCGCTCTACATGCTAGTAAGTCCAATCCTAGAATGTCACACACTCTGAGTTTAAAGAAAACTTAAAACTTTATCTAGTCCAACCCTTTACGCAACAATATTATTTCATCCACAACACCCCCAAAGTAATTGCCCAGAGATGATTACCTCCAGTGACAGGGAACTCCACGCTCAGTGTTCTAATACGGGAGACCACTAATTCTTTGAAAGTTTTTACACTTAACAAACACCTCTCCCTTATGGCACTTTCTCCTATTGGTCCCAGTTGTAATCTCCAGAATATTACAAAATAAATGGAATCCCTCTTGCTTACACTGTCTTTGAAACAGAGACAGCTTTGAGCACTTCAAACTGCCACAAGAGGAGGCTGAATGAACAGCTACATGCCTTAAAGGGAAAACAAGGACTTCAGAGCAGGCAATTATAAACGATACAATCAGAAAACAAAGGGAAAGGCTTAATGCTGTTATCCTCTGCTGCACATAGCCTCCATCCTCAGACAAACTCTGAGTCTCAAATGCAAAGTGAATGACAGAGCTGTTTGTGTCCCTTTCTACTTGACTTCAATAACATCCTTAAAGAAAACATGTTCTAAATGGATAAGTTAATTACTGTAAATGACACTCTAGACAAGAGTCAAAAGAGGGCCCTGATCATGTTTAAAATAATAAAAGACAGTTAAAAATCATTTTTGAGCTGTTAGCATTTAGCTTAGACATAATACAGAGATAAGAAGAAAGAGGAGGAGAATTTTATGGCAACATAGGAATAAGCAGAATAAAACTACTTCCTAGACAACTGAATTGTCTTGTTGAAAGGCTAATACTTAGTGTACACAGGGGGGAAAATCTTTCTGAATAAAAAAACAAACAGACCCTGGTCGGGGGACTGGCTCACACCTGTAATCCCAATACTTTGGGAGGCCAAGTGGGAGAATCGCTTGAGATCAGGAGTTTGAGATCAGCCTGGGCAACATACTGAGACTTCATCTCTATAAAAAAATAAACGAAAAACAAACCTAGATGCACAGCCTCCAGATCATAGCAGAAGGGGCTGTTAAGGATTCAATTCCATCATTGTCTAGACCGAGCAACCTAAACCCAAGTCACCTAAGGTTGCCAGGTAAGCGGCAGAGTTAGGACAAAATCTCCCGATTCTTCAATCTCTGTTCTGTACATTGCACCATGATGCTATCTTCAGCAAAATTCAAATAACTGCAAAACGTCCATCCAGATGAGCAACCCCAAATCTGACAAGTTACAGAAAAAATAAAGCTAAGGTCTTTACATTCTTCAAGCTAATGTCAGGGCTCTGATGTCCACAACCTCGGCTCAGCCGCCCATCCTCCCAGAAGCACACTCCGATTCATATTTCATATTTTGGTGTGACTTACATAGAATCCAGGACGGTTAGAAACCAAACCTACAGAAGGATGAGCTTGCAGAAAAATAATGAACAAACAGGGAACCACACCCAGAGCCAACCGAACCCCAGCGGTGGAAAATGCAGACAGCTAAAAAGGGAGTGGACTAAAAGAGAAAGGGACAGAAAGGGGTGCCGTTTCACACGTCAAGTTTCCCGCAGGAGGCAGTGTGGTGAAAAGCAAACAGCTGCTGAAGCTTAGGAACATTTGCATTCCAGGCGCAGGTCTACGGTTAGCCCGCTGAGTGACCTTAGGAACGCCCTTACCCCTTCCTGGAGTAAGGGCTAGATTTCTCCAACCGTCCTGGGAGGGAGTTGCACCAGACGACTTCCCAGGGTCCTTGCAATTCTGACCCAAAGACTATTATTAGCCAGTCTCGAGCAGGGCTCCCGCAGCGGACAAGACATTTGCTGGGAACAGCTGGGGCCCTTTAGGAGGCGTAAAAGACGCCCTAGACCGTCGTTTGGGTTATCGTCACCTTCTACCCCCGTTTCCCACACCTGTCAAATCGGACGGTGGGACCCCCCCCCCAACCCCACGAGGTCAAGAAAGATAGCGCGAGGGGCAGGGATCCCCACTTCGCCCAGTTCACAGAGGGGTGCCCGCGTCGTACCGCAGCCGCGGCCCGGGGACGCCGAGGAGTCGCGGACCCGCAGCCCGGGAGCGTCCGGTGCCTGACCTGGAGCATCTGCAACGAAGGAGGAAGGCGAGGTGGGTCCTGCCCCGGGCGGCGAGCGCCGCCAGCCGGAGCGCGTCAGTGGAGGAACTCACGGTTCGGGTTCCGGCCCCCTCCAGGCTCCGGCTCTGGCTTCAGCACAGCCCACCTTTCCCGGCTTCAGTACCAGCCCGTCGCCATCCTCCTTTGCTGCCCCGGCAGTCCCTTCCGGGCCTCGTCACGTGAGCCCGGCGCCCACGCCCGAGGCCGAGATCACGTGCTCCTTTGCGCTGCCGCCCCTTTTTTTTCTCACTGAGCCCCGGCGCTCTGCTCCACAGCACCACCTGGCGACCTATTACTGCCACTGCTGGGAGGACTATGTTCCTGGGCCCTGGAGACCGCGAATAGGAACTCAGCGGGGCACTGATCTTGGGCATGGGGCAGAGTCCAGTAGGAGAACACTGTTCCTTGAGTTGTGGGTTTGTGAAACATTGCTAATTTTAACACTGGCTATATTTTCTTTTACACATTTCGATGGGTTTATATTGCTTTTATAAGAAATATGCATATTTTAAAAAATCTTCTAGTCAAATTTTCAGACGCATACACAAACTCTCATCTGTGGTTGCTACTGGAAATGGAACTGTGGGGTAAGGCAACACTATCTTTAAATACATTAAAATTTTTAAAGTAACATTTTTAAATGGATGGCAACATTTCAGCATTATATATCTAGGCTTCTCCTTTTACCTCCTTGTTGCAGATTTTCCCTTTAACAAATATGTAACAAATAGACCTGAAGTCAAAACTGTCTCAAGAGACAGATAAGATCATTGTTTAATGATAAAGGGGTCAATTCATTTGATGAATTAATGATAAAGGGGTGAATTCATTAAGAGGGCACAATTATAAATACACACGCATGCAACATTGGAGCACCTAAATATATACAACTAACATTAATGGCCATGAAGGGAGAAATAGATAGCAACCCAGTAATAGTAGGAAAGTCAATATCCCACTTCCCAAAATGGATAGAGCAACTAGAGAGAAAATAAGGCAATAATGAACTTGAATTGCACTTTAAACCAAATGAACCTAACAGATATATACAGAATGTTTCATCCAACAGAAGCAGAATACACATTTTTCTCTAACATACTTGGAACATTCTCTAGAATTGACCAGATGCTAGTCCAGAAGACAAGCCTTAAATTTAAGAAGATTAAAATCATATTAATATTCTTTCAGACCATAATGGTATGAAGCTAGAAATCAATAACAGGAAGAATCTTGGAAAATTCACAAATATGTGGAAATTAAACAACATGCTTTTTTTTCTTTGAGATGGAGTTTCACTCTTGTTGCCTAGTCTGGAGTGCAATGGCACAATCTCAGCCCACTGCAACCTCTGTCTTCCAGATTCAAGCAATTCTCTTGTCTCAGCCTCCCAAGTAGCTGGGATTACAGGCATGTGCCACCACGCCCGGCTAATTTTGTATTTTGGTAGAGACAAGGTTTCACCATGTTGGTCAGGCTAGTCTCAAACTCCTGTCCTCAGATGATCTGCCCACCTCGGCTTCCCAAAGTGCTGGGATTACAGGTGTGCGCCACCACGCCCAGCCCCATGCTTCTAAACAACCAATAAGTCAAAGATGAAATCAAAAGGGAAATTTAAAAAATATTTTCAGGCAATTGACAATGGAAACACAACATATTAAAGCTTATAGAATGCAGCAAAAATAGTTCTAAGAGAGAATTTTATAGCAATAAATGCCTACATTAAAAAAGAAGAACAATACCAATTAAATTGTTTAACATTACACCTCAAGAAACTGGAAAAAGATGAGCTCACAAAACCCAAAGTTAGCAGAAGGAAAGAAATAAAGAGCAGAACAAAAATAAATCAAATAGACAACAGAAAAAAAAAACATAGACAAAATCAATAAAACTAAGAGTTTATTTTTTTGGAAAAAATAAAATTGACATACCCTTATCTAGTCTAAGTAAAGAAGAAATCTCTAATTAAATAAAAAAATGAAAATGGAGACACCACAACAGATGCTTCAGAAATAAAAGAATCATATGGGGCTACTATGAACAATTATTTGTCAACAAACTGTATAACCCAGAGGAAATGGAGAAATCCCTAGAAAAATACAACCTACCATGATTGAAATCAGGAAGAAGTGGAAAGCTTGAACAGACAAAGAGATTGAAGATGTAACAGAGACTATTTGACTTTCTGGCTTTCTGTTTAAATTTCCCTGAAAGATCAGATGGCTTCACAGCTGACTTCTGCAAATATTCAAAGATTACCAATACTTAATAAACTCTTCCGAAAAGCGTGGAGCTAGAGGGAGTACTTCCCAACACATTTTATGAGGCCAGCATTACCTTCATACCTAAGCCAGAGAAAAACACTATAGCGAAAGAAAATTACAGGCTGATTTTGCTAATGCACACTGGTACAAAAATCCTCAATAAAGTATTTGCAAACAGAATTCAACAATAAAAAAAAATTACACATCATGACCAAGTGGGATTTATCCCTGGCAGGCAAGGCTGTTTTAACATACAGTATCAAGCAATATAATAAATGACATTAACAGAATGAGAAATGAAGACCACATGGGTATCTCAATTGACCTGGCAAAAGCATTTGACAAACTCCACATCCTTTCTTTCCCTAGCCCCCATCCGGACATACCTTCTTGATAAAAAAAACCTTCAATAGTTTAGGTACAGAAAGAACATTCCTCAACATAATAAAGGTTATTTATGAAAAACACACAGCTAACATTTTAATTAATGGGGAAAAACTAAAAGCTTTTCCACCACCATCAAGTACCAGTCAAGGATACCCACCCTCACCACTTCTATTCAACATAGGACTGGAAGTACTAGCAAGAGCAATTTGTCAAAAAAGAAAAAGAAAGAAAGAAAGACATCCAAATCAGAAAGAAAAAAAGTAAAATTATCTTTATCTGCAAATGACATGATCCTATATGTAGAAAACCCCAAAGATTTAAAAAAGTGCTGTTAGATTAATGATTTTAGTAAATTTTCAGGATTTACTCACGCCTGTAATCCCAGCACTTTGGGAGGCCAAGAGTGGGGGTGGGTTACATAGGATCAGGAGTTCAAGACCAGCCTGGCCAACATGGTGAAACCCTGTCTCTACTAAAAATACAAAAATTAACCCAGCATGGTGGCACACACCTGTAGTCCCAGCTACTTGGGAGGCTGGGACAGGAGAGTTGCTTGAGCCTGGGAGGTGGAGGTTGCAGTAAGCCAAGATCGCACCATTCCAGCCTGGGTAACAGAGTGAGACTCCATCTCAAAAAAAAAAAAAAAAATTGTAAAAATCAGTAATATTTTTATACACAAATAATTACCTACCTCAAAAAGAAATTAAGAGAATGATTTTATTTGAGATAGTATTAAAAAACACCTGAGAATCAATTTAACCAAGGACATGAATAGTGTGTACACTGAAAACTATAAAACAATAATTAAACAAATTGTAGAAGACACAAGTAAATGAAAAGCTATCCCATGCACATGGACCAGAAGAATTAACATTGTTAAAATGTCCATACACAGAGCAATACACAGATTTAATGCAATCCCTATCAAAATCCCAATGGCATTCTTTACTGAGATATAAGAAATAATCCTAAAATTTGCATGAGATCACAAAAACCCTGAATAGCCAAGACAATTCTGAGAAAGAATAACAAACTGGGTCCATCACACTTCCTGATTCAAGATTACGTTACAAAGATATAGTAATCTAAACAGTATAGTACTGGCACAAAAACTGATACAACAGACCAATGGAACACAATAGAGAGCCTAGAAATAATGTAAACATATATGGTCAACTAATTTTCAAGAAGGGCATCAAGGGAACACAATGGGGGAAAGACAGTCTCTTCAATAAATGAGACAGAGAAAACTGGTTTTTATGTGAGAAAGAATGAAATTGGATGTTTATCTTACACTGTACACAAAAATAAACTCAAAATGGATAAAAGACCTAAATGTAAGATCCAAAACTATAAAATTCCTAGAAGAGAACATAAGGGAAAACCTCCTGGACATTGGCCTTGGCAATGATTTTTTTTTTTGGATATCAGACCAAAAGGTCAGGTTACAAAAGCAAAAATAAATAAATAGGACTACATAAAACTAAAAAGCTTCTGCACAGCAGAGGAAGCTAACAACAAAGTGAAACAGCAGCCTATGAATTGGAAAACTTATATGCAAACCACATGTCTAATAAGGGATTAATATCCAAAATTTATCAAGAACTTATATAACTCAGCAGTAGAAAATGACCCAATTTAAAACTAGGCAAAGGACCCATATAAACATCTCTTCAAAGAAGAAATAAAAATGCTCAGCAAGTATATGAAAAAATGTTCAATGTCATTAATCATCAGGGAGAATGCAAATCAAAACCAGTATTAGATACTTCCTTACACATACTAGGTTTACTATTATCAAAAAGTCAAAAGACAACAAATATTGGCGAGGATGTGGAGAAAAGGGACTTCTATATGGTGTAGGTGGGACTGTAGATTGGTGCAGCCATTATAGAAAACAGTATAAAGGTTTCTAAAGAAATTAAAAATAGAACTACCATATGACCCCCCTTTCTGGGCATATACTAGAAGGAAATGAAATCACCACCTTATAAAGATATCTGCATTCCCATATTCATTTTAGCATTATTCATAATAGCCAAGATATGGTAATAACCTAAGTGTCTATTGACAG